GGCTCCAGAACATTCTATTGTTGCTTATTTGATTACATTGCTCCTTCCACGAGCTGCATGAACGGAAAGTATGAGATTTCCCTTTTTGTTTTGCAAACGGGATAAATGAGTCTAGAAACTATAAATCCTAAATGCATCCCTGACAGTCTTAAGGGCAATTCAGAGTGGTGTGCCACATAACTCTGCTCTTTGTCACTTGAAGTTTATAATCCCACACTCTGAGAAGCAGGGTGTCCCATCCTAGGAAGGTCATTTTTCCAATTCATTTTCCTTCTGTGTACTCCCTCAGACTTCCTCCATACCTCTTGTTCCCTGCATTCTGGACCAGGCAGAATGGGCTAGATAATGCTGTAGCAACAAAACAACCCTCAAATCTCAGTGGCTTCCCCCAACAATACTTCACAGTCATTTTACATATCATCTGTGGGTTGGCAGAGAGTCCCTACCCACTAAAGCAGCAACTCAGAGATCCAAGTAGCCACTAGCTGGTTACTGTGCCCGAAAGAGTGTTCTGGAGGGTTTGGCACTGCCCTTGAAGTGGCAGCCGGCATTTTTCACTGGACAGAAATAGTCACATGTTTTATCCAGCATGAGGGGTTAGGAAGTGTAAGTCCACATTGGGCCCAAAAAGCTGGATGATGGGGGAGACATTCAGAACTGTTTGGCAAACAGCCCAATGACCAGCCCACATTCTTAGCTAGTGATTTGTTTGGCATCTTCGCTGTGAAAATCGGAAGTGCTCCCTTCTCTTCCCTAAAAAAAAACTCCCAAAACTTAGTCATTTGCATATTATTAAGTTTACGGCCCTATCTGAATTTACATCTTCTTTTTCCCAGTTTATTCCAATATAGGAAATATCTTTCTTTTGATCCAAATGTTTTCTGACCACCTACTCCTGTCCATAACAAATTTTAAGCGTATACAAGGGTATCCTACTAAATGTTTAAGAATTGGCTGTCTGGAGGGGCGCCTGAGTGGCTCAGTCGATTGGGCGTCTGACTTCAGCTTAGGTCATGATCTCACATTAAGCTGTGTGCTGACATCTCAGAGCCTGGAGCCTGATTTTGATTCTGTGTCTCCCTCTCTCTCTGCCCCTCCGCTGCTCAGGCTCTGTCTCTCTCTCTCTCAGAAATAAACAAATATTAAAAAAAAAAAAAAAAAGAATTGGCTGTCTGGGGACAAAAAACCCAAACACCTCAGCCTTGCCTTTTAGTGTCTACTGATTTCTGTGGTGTAAATATTTCACCGTGGCCAATGTCAAGCTACTAGCGTGATGTTACTGAACGTGCACTTGGGAAGAGATGTACGCAAGTAGGCTTTCTCAAGGGGGGTATGAAGTGACTCCAGCACAGGAAGGAGAAAGAAGATAGAGATTCAGAGAGGGCTGTAAACTTGATAACATGCAAATGACTAAGTCTCAGGGAGGTTTTTGATAGTTACTCATAAAACAGACATAAGTACTACTTGTATACTTGTGCGTATTTTATAACAGAACTCACATTAAACGTGCATATATGTGTCCGTATATCACACATACATGGACATATGTTTTTAGTACAGCTCAGTTTTTATTTTTTCAGGTTAAAAATGAAACCGTGCTGCCATCTTCTCCCCACTAACTCTAGTGGAAGGCCCCACAGGGTCCACTCCCATCCCTCACCTGGGAGGCTCCTGCTCTAGGCACTCAGGGACTTTGCTCTTGTCGTTGGTCACCCTGTGTTGTGAAGCACCAGCCTCTTCCTCTCGTTCCGTTCCCAGGGGCATCCTGACAAGCCCTGGTGAACCCTCCTGTCTTCCAGTCCTGAAGGTGGTGCCTTAGTCGATATTGCCCTTCATCAGCAGCTGCGTTTTCTCTGTTCCCCCCCAGAGCGTGACCCCTGAGACAGACCTGCACACACGCGACCTCCTTTCATTCCATCACCAGCCGGCTCTCATCAGACTCTCATCCCCAGCGCTCTGCTGGAATTGCTCCCATCATGGTCATCGGTGATGGCCGGGGTGCCGCACCTAGGGGGTACGTTCTGGCCTCACCTTGCCTGGCTTCCCAGGGGCAGCTGCCCACTCCATCCTTCTTGACATGCTCCTCTCTTCTGACTCTGCAATGATACCCTTTCCTGGTTTTCTCTTTTGCTCCTTTCCTCTGTGGCTCAGGCAAGGGCTGTGGGCCCCCTTCTGTATTTGTGCTGTTTCCCTGGGAGAGTTCATTCATTTCCAGGCCTTTAAAAACCAAAGGTGTGCTGGGGGCGCCTGGGTGGCTCGGTCCGTTGAGCATCCTACTTTTTTTTTTTTTTATTTTTATTTAAAAAAAATTTTTTTTTAATGTTTTATTTATTTCTAGGAGAGAGAGAGAGAGAGAGACAGCGTGAGCAGGGGAGGGTCAGAGAGAGAGGGAGTNCAGCGTGAGCAGGGGAGGGTCAGAGAGAGAGGGAGTCACAGACTGAAACAGGCTCCAGGCTCTGAGCTGGCAGTCAGCACAGAGCCCGATGTGGGGCTCGAACCCATGAACCGCGAGATCATGACCTAAGTGAAAGTCAGACGCTTAACCGACTAAGCCACCCAGGCGCCCCTGAGCATCCTACTTTTGATTTTGGCTCAGGTCATGATCCCAGCATTGTGGGATCAAGCCCCACACTGAGTGTGGAGCCTGACTGAGATTCTCTCTTTCTCTTGCCGCCCCCTTCCCCCAGTCGTGCACACACTCTCTCTCTAAAATAAAAAAATAATAATAATAAATGAAAATCACTAAAAGAAAACAACAAAGGTGTGCTGACAAATGTCCCCTGGCTTTCCCTACCCCCTCTTTCCCCTCTGAGCTCTGGATGTATCTGTGCAGTTGTCCCCTTGCTCTTTGTACCTCAGGATTTCGTAGGTATCGTAATGGCTACGGCTCCAGAATAGAGCTCCTCATTCCCTCCAGTTCCTCCACCTACCATTCCTGGGTTGTCCCATTCTTTCTCATTTTAAAAAAAAAGTAAGTTATTTATTCAGTTATTAAATCCAGAAATCTAGTAGAAACTAATTTGACAATAAACTATTTGTAAAAAAAAAAAAAATAAATAAATAAATAAATAAATAAATAAATCCAGAAATCTACTAGCCATCCGTAAGTGCTTTCCTTTCTTTGCCCTTCACATCTAATCCATAAGCACTTCCTTTTGCTCTGCCTAGAGAGCACGTATCTTACCTGTCCATTTATCTCTGTCTCTAATTCAGACCATCGTCTGTTTTCTCCGGGGCGGCCGTAATAGTACGTAATAGGATTTCACTTTCACGTTTGCCTCTTTTCATTCCATGCCCGATATTTTAACTAAGAGTGATTTTTATAAAAGGTAAATCAAATGACTCTTCTCCCCTTGAGCCCTCCAGTGCACTTTGAGTAGATCCGGATTCCCTACTTTGACCCCCTAGGCTTCCTGTGCTCTCGCCTCTGCCTTCCCTTCAACCTCACCACGTCACTCTGCCTTTGGCTCTTCTGCTCTAGTGAAACTGGCTGCCATTTTGTCTCAGGAACGGGCTGGCGTCCTCAGCGCCTCTGTAGTTTTTGCTCTCTTCCCCAGGAAGCTCTCTCCCCAGCTCATCACATGGCTGACACTTCCTTTTCCTGAAGATCTCAGCTTAAGTGCCAATGCATTAGAGTCTTTCCTCATCTAATGGTATATTTCCTAGTGGTTTGTTTCTGGCCTAGCACTTATTGCATCTTGAGATTGCTTTTCCTTATTTATTACCTGATCTGCTGGAAACCTCTGTGAGGGCAGGAACCTTATCTCTGTCTAGTGTTTGGTGGGTGCTCTGTAGACACATACTGAATGAAAAAACGTATGGTCTCACCCCGTTTATCATATGAACAGTAATTACTGAATGAAAATATAGAAGGAATGTGTTTCCAAAATGGTGGAGCGGCAGTACTACTGGGAAGGTTCTGATCAGATTAAACTTTACGGGGGTGAGCGTAAGATCCTGTGCTTTGGTTTAAAAAAGAGTCCATGTCATTGTGTAGAATCCGGGATCGCTGGTTTGCCACCCGTTCATAAATCCTAGAAGCCAGAAGTGGTGGCTGGAAGGGTAATGAAGCCCTCTACTGCATCAATAAATCCCTGTATTTCCATATTAGAGGAGGGAATATCCTACAGTCTTGTCTTCCAGGGACACCAGTGGAATTATTACAGCTTTCTAAAGCGCAGTAGAATACCTCATTTATTCACTCATTCACTCAACATTTACTGAATCCACTCCGGGCCCTAGTAGTATAGTTGTAAACAGAATTCTCATGGTTCTCGTGTTCATGGGACTTGTTAGATCTAATTCCCAGTGAGAAGTGGTTTCTCTTTCAGTGCAAGTATTAAAGCAGAAACCAACGTGGCATTTATTGGAAAGGAGGGCGGTCTCATGGCTCAAAATGTCTGCCCTGGAAGCAGACTCTGGAGCCTCGGGGCTTCAAATCCCAGCTCCAGGATGTACCAGCTAACGTGACTCTGGGCAGGTGTTTAAAACGTCCCTGTGCTTCTGGATTCTCATCTAAAATCTGGGGATGAGAACAGCGCTGCCACATACTGTTGTGGGCAGCCAATGAGTTAATGTGTATAAGTCATTTAGAATGATACCCAGCGTTTAGTGGGCACTAAATTAATAGGTGTTAAGCAGTTAATTAATAAAATCGTGTTGTCTGACGGGCCAAAGGTTGGAAGACAGGTTGAGGGCGGGGAGAAGTGGCCGTAGAGGGACCGTGGGAAGTCAAAGCACAAATTAGGATTATTACTTTATTTACATTAAAGATTAATTGTTTTGAGCTTGGGCGTGAAGATCTAGACCGGGCAGTCGGTGATGATTGTTTTGTTTTGTCTTCTGTTTGAGGCTGGAGAAGTGTGAGTCCTATTTGGAAAGACTGCCCACTCCCTTGGGTTATTTTTCCTCCTAATGCTGCCGACAAAGACGCACGCTTCTGGAAGTGAAAAAGTCATAGCTTTCCATGAACACCTATTTTTGCTCTGGTTTTGTTTTAGTGGCAGCTGAAATACCCTAAGCTAATTCTCCGCGAAGCCGGCAGCGTGCCCGAGGAGCTCCATAAAGAAGTTCAAGAAGCCTTCCTCACACTGCACAAGCATGGCTGCTTCTTCCGGGACCTGGTTAGGATCCAAGGCAAAGATCTGCTCACGCCAGTCTCTCGCATCCTCATCGGAAACCCAGGCTGCACCTACAAGTACCTGAACACCAGGCTCTTTACGGTACCTTGGCCCGTGAAGGGTGCCAGTACGAGATACGAGGAGGCTGAAATCGCGGCTGCTTGTCAAACCTTCCTCAGGCTCAACGACTACCTGCAGATAGAGACCATCCAGGCTTTGGAAGAACTCGCTTGCAAAGAGAAATCGAACATCGATGCCGTGCCCGTGTGTATCGGGCCAGATTTCCCCAGGGTCGGTATGGGGTCCTTTGATGGACAGGATGAGGTGGACATGAAGAACAGAGCCGCGTACAACGTAACTCTGTTGAATTTCATGGATCCCCAGAAAATGCCGTACCTGAAGGAGGAGCCTTATTTTGGCATGGGGAAGATGGCCGTGAGCTGGCATCACGATGAGAATCTCGTGGAGCGGTCAGCGGTGGCGGTGTACAGTTACAGCTGTGAAGGTACAGTCGGCCCTGCGAAGACACAGTCCTGAGCGTAACAGGACCAGAGTTGTAGGCTCTGGAGACGTGCACACGTGTGCGTGATCGTGTGGATCTGTGTGCACACGGGTGTTGCGTGCCCTCCTTAGGCTTGCAGCGCCCACATCTCCGTAGACTAGACCTCTTTCTCATCTCGGGGCGCTGTCTAGCTCATTGTTACACTGTGCTCACGCTGAATATTTTCATGTGCAAGCGCTCCTGTCATTCTGTCTTTCCCATGCCCAGGAGAACAGCATCTTGGCTTCATGCAGCCAGCCCCCTTTCTGAAAAGTTCAGAGTAGGCTGTACAGTTGCTATAATTAACTTGCTGATAAAGGGCCGGGAAAACAAAAATCTGTCACGGCTCTCCCGGTCCCCACAGGTGCACATTGCCAGTCTTGCCAAACTCCTTTAATTGTGGTCGACATCACCGTCTTGATGGGAGTGATTTGTCAAACACGGACTTGTACTTGGCTTCATACAGATTTGACTACAATCCTTCCTTGCCGGAAGCGGTTGGAGTAGGTTCCGGAAGCAGACAGTCCTCTATTTTTAGGGGACTCTCCAGTCCCCTCTAAGCGCTGTAGTTTTAGTCCTAAAAGGGGTGCTGTGGGTGAACGTGTTCTTACAGTTTCCGAAACCGGGTCCCCTCAGAGCGGAGACCACGGGCTGCCCTCTCGCGGCCTACCAGAACTTTCCTTCTCATGTTATCCAGTGGCTGTGTGTTTAGGGGCCCCACTGTGTTTCAGCCCAGGCTCATAAAAAAGACAGTTGAGCAGATCCAGGACACGCGTGATCCCCCCCGACTTCATTCTCTCCCTGCTCGTTTGACAGAGGGATACAAGATGCGGTGTTAACCCTGTTGTGTGTCTCTTTGACAGATGCTCGAAAAACCAGAGTTCTAGATCTCCCGTCAGGGAAAGAACTGGAACTTTTAAGGGCCAGTGCTTTCTGAAAACTCGTTTTAGTTGGATGTCGTTATCGCTGCATGCTTTTTGTTTGCTCAAATGACCGTTTTTTTGGTAAAGGGATTTTAAAAGGACATTCTCATGGTTCTCTTTAAATTTCTTCCCATTTCCCAATCTCAGGCATTTCCTCGGGATAGCTGAAACATTTTCTAACTTTTTCCTTCCGTCTTCAGCCCGGAACAAGGAACTAGTTGAGCAGTTGGAAATTTTAGCAGTTTCCCTGGCATCTCAAATAATGATGCTGACCTAAGAAAATTGCTTGAAGGGGATTTGATGCTGTCCTAATGGAAGGAATGGAGATCCTCTGATCTTTAGTAAGGCGTTGCCAAGGATTTAAGACTGATCACATCCAAGAACTCTGATGGGAAGAACAATGGAGTTTGTTAGTTTCCTTCTTAAGGAGGCAACTCTCTAAAATTGAGGCAGTGGTATATGATAGCTCAGTCGGCCACAAAGATGTCTTTGTGCTCCCATCTCCTCTCAGCCTTATAGTTTAATAGTCCTTTTGTGCTCCCAGAGCGTGGGTGATCAAGTCTTTTTTGAAGCCTAGAATGTCGTTCAGAAAGGAATTTAAATTTTTATTGAATAGTTTCTGTGGTCGGGAGTAGTTACAACTGATAAAGGAAACAAGTATATATAAACATATAAAGGTTGAGCCCTGCAAGACTGTCGTCTAGAGGAGGGTAGTGCAGAATTCAAATCCGTAAGAGCTGAGGGATTCCTTTGTTCTCGTAGCACCCAAGAATCCCACCACTCTATCTAATAATAATAATAATTGTAACAGCAGCAACACCAGGAGCTCGCATTTATTGAGCACCTACTATGTGCTGGGCATTGGTATAAGCATTTTACGTGTAGTGACCCATTTTATTCATATAACAACCCTGTGAATGAAGTACTGCTGTTCTCCTCATTTGACGGGTGGGGAAACTGAGGCACGGAAGGATGATTAACTTTTCCACGGCTGTACAGCTATTAATTAGCAAAGGTCGGATTTGAACCCAGACTTTCCCGCTTCCGAGTCCTAACAGCGAAGACTAAATGCCTTATGAGCAGATATTTCCTACCCTTGAAGTATAGCTCCCTCTGGGATTTGGGTTTCTAAAATGTCCACCTCTGGAAAAGTGAAGGGAATGGTCTGTTTGCTCTTCCTAGCAGGTCCTGTATCCTCTCGTCTTCTTCCCACCTCCTCACTTCTCTCCCCCCACGACATCCGCTATAGCTTCCTACCCATGCCCTCAGGTGACTGGAATGCATTAGATAAGGTTATTCTATGACATGGAACCTCTCTCTAGGTCTCCGGCTGTGTGTGTGATGATGAGTCATGTGCCTTGAAACTTATTTTGGTGGATGCATGTCCTCCAGACAACTTTTTCCAGGTGACAAATGGTATGTTTACTTCTCTGGCCTCCTTGTAATCCTGCCCGAGGTATGGTAAGGGTGGGCTTGAAGAGAGCCATTTGGGTTAAAATCACGACCAGGGTTAGAAGGGGCTTAAAGGGAGTGAAGAGAATGGAAATTTCAGACCACTGCACCGTTTTCTGAGTCCTTGGACACATTTGTCACGCAGCGGCTCAAGGAGGTTCAGTTAGCTGTTCTAACTGCGGAGGCTGCGAAGGTAAATCAGATGCTCTTCTTGCCTTGAAAGGATGGGTGACGTAAAGTGTGCCCTCTTGATTATAATTATGAAATGAGGAAATGTCAGGTCTGGAAGAGACTTTTGAAGTCATCTAAGTTCAAGTGTCTCATTTTATAGATGAAGACACTGAGGCAGGGAGAACGGCAGTGCCTGGTCCAAGGTCACATAGTTCCTTAGCGCTAAGACAGGTTATGTGCTCAGAGTTCCTGCAAATGCATTGGGAGTTCAGAACAGAAGAGATTACTTCCTGCTGAAATTAAATTCAGGTGAAGCTTAAGCTCCTTCAGGACTTTGTTCTCAATACCTCTTCCTAGAGAAATCTTCATGTAGATTTATAATGAGCCAGTCATCCCTCTTTGGTTTATTTCTGTGAGTAGAGGTCATTGAGGAGTAATTTGTATAGGATACGTGTAATTATATAATAAATTCATTGGCTTCACATGGAGCGCTAGTTAATAGATAGCCCCAGTAAGAAGATTGAAATGGTACAATATTTAATCAGGAATGGCTTCGGGGAATCATGTGTAAATAGGCAGAGTATTTGATTTTCCTATGCTGGCTTTGCTGGCAAATGCTTGTTACTCCTAGATATAAACACACTCTCTCTCTCTATTTCTTACACACACACACACACACACACACACACACACACACACATTTTAGCAGGGAAGGCATTAACAACCCATTGTTTAATATAGTCCTGCACCTTGTTCTCTGACTGGAATGCCTTCAAAAAGATAAGGTAAATAATTATTGTTACTGTTTTTTGGGGCGCCTGGGTGGCTCAGTCATTTGAGTGTCCGGCTTCTGCTCAGGCCTTGATCTCACAGTTTGTGGGTTCAAGCCTCATGTCTGGCTCTGTGCTGAGAGCTCGGAGCCTAGAGCCTGCTTCAGATTCTATGTCTCCCTCTCTCTCTGCCCCTCCCCCACTCATCTTCTGTTTCTCTCTGTCTCAATAATAAATAAACATAAAAAAATTTTTAAAAATTATTGTTACTGTTCTTGTTTGGAAGGAAGGAAATATTTTGCAACGTTGCCTTTATTAAAAACAAACAAGTCTTAAGAATTTTATTTTATTTATTTAAAAAATATTTTTTAAGTTTATTTATTTCTGAGGAAGAAAGAGACAGAGCCAAGCAGGGGAGGGGCAGAGAGAGAGGGAGACACAGAATCCGAAGCAGGCTTCAGGCTCTGAGCTGTCAGCACAGAGCCTGACGCAGGGCTCAGACCCACAGACTGCAAGATCATGACCTGAACTTAACTGACTGAGACACCCAGGCGCCCCAAGAATTTTAACTCATGCTAGGTATTGCAGATTCTTGATATTATTTTCCAGATTCCTGGGAAGGAAGGGTGAAGGAAGAAAAGGAAGAGAGACCAGTCCATGATTCCTGTTGAGTATGTGATAGGCTAGAAAGCAGGGACTTTGTAATACTTATCTAGGAATTCTAGGATTCCTACTCATGTCTTTGACTCAGGAAAAATTGAATTCACTTAAGGATGGAAATTGGTTGCCACGATTCTTTTTTTTTTTTAAGGTATTATTTGTAAGTAATCTCTACACCCAATGTGGGTCTCGAACTCACAACCCTGAGATCAGGAATCACCTGCTCCACCAAATGAGCCAGCCAGGCCCCTCATGTTGCTGTAATTCTTAAATCTTTACTTTCAAACGAGTAGCTTTATATTCCTTAGCCTGTCTTTGAGACCATGAAAGGCTAGACCATAATTGCAGCTAGGAGTTTGGGAACATTCACAATTTTCTCAAATGTTAAGATTTTTTTTATTATTATTTTTGAGAGAGAGAGATCATGAGCATGTGAGCAGGGGAGGGGTAGAGAGGGAATCTTAAGCAGGCTCCACACTCAGTGAGAAACCTGACATGGGGCTCCATCCCACCACCCTGGGATCATGACCTCAGCTGAAACCAAGAGTTGGATGCTCAGCCAACTAACTGAGTCACCCATGTGCCCCCCAAATGCTATGACATTTAATGTTTGTCTTAGCCTTCCCCCATTCCTATCTGAGATCTCAAAACTCATTTGACTTTGTGCATTTCATTGTATCATGCCATGTGTGGTTAGTTTTGTTGTTATTGTTGTTGTTTTTAAGTAGGCTTCATGCCCCGCATGGAGCCCAATGTGGGGCTTGAACTCGACCCTGAGATCAAGACCTGAGCTGAGATCAAGAGTCGGCCGCGTAACTGCCTGAGCCACCCTAGCGCCCCTGTTAGTTATTTTTGAAGTCAGTTCTACTGCTCAATAAAACTTGCTTGGTCTTCCAAGTCACATTTTTTTAAATCCCCATGAAATTATTTATGCGCTTACCAGTAAGCACCTGCTGTTTGCCAAGCACTCTTTAGATGCCAAGCACCT